TTGTTATGTACCAGACCAAAATCCATGCAAATATATCAAGGAAATAGCTTAGACCCTGCGTTTTATCTTATTTAAAGGCAAATGTAAGGTGCTGTCTTCCAGATGTAATTTGATTGGTCACATTACTCGGCTTTAAGCAAAATATACTTCATTCTTACACCCAGTTAAAATAGGGATGAAAGAAAGAAGAATTGGTATAACTTTAACACTACATGAAAAACTTAACAGAATAATAGATTATTTAACTACTAAACAGCAACTGTTCCAGTATGGTATCATCTCATAAACACATCCTTGGCAAAGGCAAAGTCAGGAAAACAGATTGTCTCACATGCGATTCTAGCAGCAGAAAGGGGACCCAAGCTTTTAGCTGTAACAGACACAGCCCATTTCCAAACCCTTACAACTACTGAATGCTAAACTAAAACCCTTGTTCTGTGGGAGCCTGATTCCACATGCTGCTTCTATTACGCCAACATTAAAAAAAACCCAAGGCCTCACAAGCTGCTTACTTTATACGTTGGTCACACCTGTCTCAATGTCTCTTCATTAAATAAAAACCAGGACAAAATACGCCACTTAAGGCCATAGTATAGTCACCACAGTTGCAGCCAAACCTGATGAGTTTCTACAGCATTGTGTGTTTGTAGCTCAAATCCCATAATGTCTAATGTAAATAGGTACACAGGAATACCTAACATGGTTGTTTTTTAAATCTCTGTTTATCTTTATGAACAACATTTGGCAACTTCAACAGTTGTTTGCAGCATGATAATCCCAACGATGCAATGCACTTTTTGTGCATTAGCATGCCTACTATTAGCAATCTAAAAGGGTTTCTTACCTCTCTCAAATGGTCCTTTACCTCCCCTAGAGGGAGGCTTAACTCTACAAACATTGTCACAGAACCAGATCCAAAGTGATGATATCCCTCTCCAAAAGGGCATCCTGACTGTCCAAATATATCTACAAGTTTTAAACCTGCTCTTCCCTCATCTAATCTGCAAACATTGGATTTCAGACATCTACCTGACCAAGATGATGCAGAAGTGGGTAAAGCTGATGACTTAAACGGCCAGCTGCCTCTCTAACATGGGCATGTGTGAATCCCAAGCTGACTCCAAATCTGCCCCACAAAAATGTGAAATACGAACATACAAAATAGGGGCAGATATAAACCATTCGGCCCTTCAACCATTCAATATGATCAGGCTGAACCGTTTTGAATTCGACATTTGCACCTATTCCCAATAGCACCTATTCCCAATAGCATTTGATGCCCCTTCCTCAAGAACTTATCCATCTCGGTCTTAAAAACATTCCAGAATCATCCATCGCCCTGAGGCAGAGAGTTCCAAAGTTGCACAACTCAGAAAATATTTCTCCTGATCCGTAATCCTGAAAGCATGACCCCCATTTTTAAACAATGCCCCATAGTTCTGGGCTGATCCATAAGAAGTAATATCCTTTCCACGTTCACCTTGTCAAAACCTTTCAGGATTTTATACACCTCAATCAAGTCTGCCCACATTGTAAACTAATAGAAACAAGCCCAACTTATCCAACCTATCTTCCTAAAACAAGTCACTAATTGGGGGCGAAACTTAGGATTTTTTTCTATATTTGCTATAAGGGAAGGACTCTCTGACAAGGCAAATGTCTGGGGAAAATATCTGTTTAGTATGCCTGCAATTTCCTAATTCCCCATTATGAGTTTTACTGCTTCTGTATACAGTAGGTCTATATTTGTTTTTTGATAATCTTTCCATCTTACATACCTAAACAAGCTTCTATAGTCTGTTTTTCAATTTCCCCAAGTTTACCACAGTATGCAGAAGTGAATGAATGAGGTGGGTATTGCTAATTAAATAAATATTAAACATTAAGATGAAAATGGAGGCAATGCAGTTATCCAAATGAAATTTTCAAAAGACACTGATAATTAGCAACAGAAAGTTGAGATTAAAAGGTTGCAAACAACTTCTAGACCTCCTTCCATTTGTGGCTGAGAATCAAGAATATTTCAGACTCTTATAAAAGAAAAATAGTAGGAATCTACTAGATTAAATACTTCTCGTTCCTCAAGCTAAACACGCAGACTAACTCCATTATATTTCCATTCCTCTGAACGTAGTAAACATAGCAGGGCAGATCCATAAGACTACCAACCTGCAATTACTATAATTGGAAGACAGTGAAAAACGAAGGACGTGAAATCAAATCAGAACAAAGAAAAATATGATAAAGCATGTTCAGTGCTTGGATTGCCAACCTGTTTGGTTCAATTGAATAACTTTCAAAAGCTCTTCATGGGGAACCGGGATAATGCACAATATGGCATAGTCTTGTTTCTCAAACAACTTATCTGTTCAATTTCGTTGAAGTTCACCAAGGGGGGAGAATTAAGTGGACAGTAGGGGGAGGGGCAGGTACAACATTGTCCAATATTTAGATAGTTGCATCACGCCACCTGCTGGAGAGACTAGCTCAATACTCTGTCATCAAGTCAGGAAGATGGGGAGAGGCATTGTGGATTAGAAAGAAAATCTCACCCACTCGCATTGCAAACACCGAATCTTGCAAATAGCAACCGTGAAATAAAATTTAAAAATGGCATCTCAAACAGATGTATGTAAATTGCTGGTATGAACATGGTTTGCGAGGGATAGAGAAAAGCCTGAGCAGGAAAGAGAATGAACAAGGTGACTTGATCTCCAATAACTTCGAAATGTCTTATTAACAAATACAACTTGTGCCGGAAGATTGATCTTTCACAAGTTTTTGGCTGAATTCTAAACTAAAAGGAGAATTTTTATCAAATATCTGGCTGTAGACTTCTAAAAGCAGTGGTCAGATTCCTTGTCTCAGACGCGAGGATTAATCAGTAGTGTTTTCCTTCTTCACTCTAGCCCAATTCTATTTCTTTGTCAATTTCATCTTTGTGATGCAAAGGGGCAATGTATTCGTGGAACAGTGGTCTTCATCAAGTCAGAATGTGAGGCTGTTTAATTCCTTTATTTCCTCCAATATTAAATGAATAAGAAATAATCGAAGTTTTTTTTATTGCTGGTGTCCATTCTAGACTTGCATTTTCATTCTATCCTGGGACTTTTCAAATTGAAGAACTACAGCATGTAGGCAAATGGTGCCTCACATAGTAAATGAACAAAAATCGACCAGTTTCCAAGTGAGCTCTCACACCCTGCAAAATTACTTGTCTTACTTCAGCTCTCAATTTGCAACAGGCATAATATACTGTAGCATTATAAATTACAGTCCAGACACACCCTGACCATATCAAACCATCAGTCTGGGTGTTATGGCATAGTAATCCAGCAAAGTTTGCACCATACAGGAAGCACATATATTCGACTTCATACTGGCTTGAATGCACAGTACCTTTTTGCACTATAACGCACAAATTTTACTCTACTGGATGTGGTAATACATTGTACAATGTAATATACAGTATGATATTGTGTTGCATTGAACTGTATGTTAAGTGCATGGTACTCGTGAATTACAGAATTACATTAGGAATGTTTAGTGGGTTTCAGCGGTCTTACTCCTGACTTTCAGTCTTCCACCTGAGTTACAATATTGGTGTACGGATGGGCATCACCTAACTCCTATGTACCTTTTCAGCGGCCTTTCCCTTTCCAGGGTCTGCGGGTTAGTGGGCCCCGGGTGATTCGCAAATGAATACCCATCAGCTAAGAGAATTACTGGATTCATGAAAAAAAAAGTGCAACACCTCTGCCCAAAGAGGAAAGCGGTGGAGCGGCGGAACAAATGAAACCGACCGGGGTGTGCGGGGAAATCTGGGAGCTTCATCATCGCTGTGCTTCTTTGTGAAACTGATGAGAACGCGCTAGTCCTGGTCAATTTCAAAACACTTTCACAATCGGCAATAAATTCCACTGTTGTTTTGTTTTAAATCGAACACTGTTTGGACACCAATTCAGATATTTATTTTGACCTGTTATGCGGTGTCCCTAAAACATACTGGCTTTGCTGCCACCAATTTTTCCAGTCTCCACGAGGGTGTATATCGTTGCCTGTCGCTCCTGCACGAAGAAAGGTATGTTTGTTTTTAAAATAATGAGGGCCGGGTGGGGGAGTAGCTGCGTGAATCGGTTTCCGAGACCGGACTTGCCAAAACTCGAGAGTGTCGGGACAGAGGAACAATCCATCAACGGTTTGCAAAAAGGGTGCTTACAACTCCAAACGAGCTTGTCAAGTGCGCACATGCATTACATTCCTAGGTTTAACACTCGGAATCGGTTGAAGCTGGTGGGGGGGGGGGGGGAGAGGCAGCACTGGGCACTCACTAGAGATTGTGAGCTAACTGAACCTGATTCAGTTCCCTAACACCTCACATGAGCAAACTTCACTACAACAAAAGCTTCGCCGCGAGAAAAATGCAACTGTGATTTTGTATTCAGAATTGCAACCGCACTTTTTCTTCCCTCTCAGCGCAGAAATGCAACAGCGTTTCTGTAAAAAGGTCAAAGCGGCCCCACTTTTAGACATTTTATTATCTCAGCGCCTTGGGAATGTGGAAGGTGAGGTTCCCGGAGGGGGGGGGGGTGTTGCGAATAACTGCTTTCCCCCCACCCCAGCAGAACAAAGAGCGAGATTCACACATCCACTCGGGTTTCAGATTCAACTCGAACTTCACAAGCAGCGGGACGGAACGACCTCCGAAAGCCGTGATCGGGTCTGGCGTGGCCAGGGGTAAAGCGGGGAGGGACGCTCGCCATTCTCGGATTGCCGCTTGCATGTTTGCCTGCGCCGGACCTGAACTTGCAGACTTGCGCCTACAGTAAGTCTCAGCAGCCGGGCACACGCTCCGGCACCTGGGCGCCGCCTCCATTCACAAAAAGACATGGGAACTGCTTCAAATGACCAGGCAAGGATCTTAGCAACCGCGTTCCGGCCCACTTCCATTTATCTATCTAATGGAATTCAGTGTGCTTAAAGACAAAACAAAAACTTACTTGGTGTTTTGGGAATGCCAAGCGACAGTGTCTAAACTCTTGGCTAACGGCAGAACAGTCCTGCACAGCGCGAATATAACTCCCCAGTAATATTTCCAGAGCGAGTCCCATTTAGCCATTCTCCAGGCTGAGGTAACACAAGTCAGAAGGTGATCTCCGAGAAATTAGCGGATTTCTCAGCAATGACTGGCTCACTCTCTCGATAGTGTTTTTGGATTGTATCCTTGAGTATAGCGTAAGTGTTATATCCCTCTCGGAATCGTATCCGTTTTCTGTCTCTTTACGTTAAGGCAGGAATGTCTCCTTATCCACAGGAATGTATCCCTCTCTTGGGGAGTGTGGGGGGCGTACCTTTTCTCCCCCTTTTCTGATCACTCCCGGGTAAAGCTGCACACTCTTCGTCTCTGAACTCCTGTGGTTTCCGTGAGCCTGGCTGTGCTCTCAGCGCTGCTCCTGTGTCTCCCGCTGTCTTAGGAGGAAGACTCAGATCAGTGCGAGCTACAGGATGTCCATGTGCACCGTCGCTGTATTTTCGGGCTTGCCCGCTCGCTAAGAATCCGCTGCGGGAACTCGCGTTGCTGCCTCTCTCTCGAGTCGTTCGTCGCTCACTGCCCACCTAACCTGCCCCTACCTCCTTGTCCCGCCTCTCAGGCACGCTGCAGACACCACTCATCCTGTAACCAATCACCGGCGTCCTGGGCGCCTCTCAACCAATCAAACCCCAGCCGAAAGGGGTCCTCACGCAGTGCTCTTAAAGCCAAATTGAAACATTGTCCAAATCGACAGGAAACTTTCAAACACGGGATGCTGCCCATTCTACCAACAGTGTTACAAGCTACAAAATCTAATCAGTAATTTATAATCACTGGGAAGCCATCGTTTCACTGTATTGTAATCACTCGTTCATTATACAACTTTAACAAGTTTCGTTAAATACTCTCCAGTGTTCTCCTTCCCTCACAATGCATATTTTAAGTTAATGTTTTACAGATTGAGAGATTACCAGGTTCCAGCAGAGAAAATAACATAGGTATGTGCATTTTAACGTGAAAATAGCTTGTGGTTTGAAATCCGAGCTTCGATAGATATTGAGGGAGAGAGATCGAGCCACCGAGTTAGTTTCTGGGTGCGAGATTTCCTCATCAGCGAAAGCTCAGAGTGAGCTCGGCGAACGATCCCTAAAAACTGATGAAATGAAATCCGATTGGGACCCCAGAACATAAGGGCTAATGGAAAAAAAGGGAACCAAGCCGCCGCTGATTCCTCCCAGTAGTGTAGTACACCACAAACTAGGACATGATTGGGAACTGCATCGAAAGTTTTTTTTTCTCTCTAAATAAGCATGCTTCCTAACAAAATAAGTAAAGGCACTCAAGTAGATTCAAAATCTAACTCAAACTGGGAGAAGTCACTAATAGTGAGCTGACATGAATTCATTTTGAGTACTGGTGGTGTAAGCTCTGGTGGTAAGATGGAACCAACAATGTTATAAATCACCCAAAGCTCAGCTGTTCTAAGAGTGGTGTCGGTGAGCTTGTCAGACTAGTAAGTCCTTGGTTTAAGGCCTGCTTTGTGCTGAGTTTGGTGATTGATTAGAGCATTGAAAATGATATCTCAGCCGGACTGTGACAGAGCCACAGACCGGAAGAAAAGCACATTGAGTGAAATTCTCACCAGTGACATTTACTGCCAGAGGGAAGGGAATCCACAAGGTGTGAGCCCAAAAGAGGGCGAAACAAACTCATACACACGCTTGGGAAAGATGAGAATTCCGTTCAGACACCGGGCTGTTCATCATAACCCTAAACACAGCCTGCCTCTACCTCGCCCCAGTCTGCTTCACCTTCACTCCTCTCTGCCTCACCCTCACTCCTCTATTGCCTCACCTTCACCCCACTCTGCTTCACCCTCACAGAAGGCCACTAAGAATTCGCTCAAGAGGTAATGCTTGGATGGATGCGTGAAAAGCGAGCGCTAAAAGGCTGTTGGGCCACGGGTAATCTGAGAGTCGATTTCTCGATCCGTTTTGAATCAACATTTAAGGCACTTACAAAGTGAAGATACTCAGGCTAATTGCAGTGCCTCGAACACTAGCTTTTCGAAAATTCATTTGTGGGATGTGGGTGTCGCTGGCTGACCAGCATGCATTGTCCATCCCTAGTTGTTTAGTGGCCCCTATTTGAGACAAAAATAGAAATTGCTAGAAAAGCTCAGCAGGTTTGGCAGCATCTGTGGAGAGAAATCAGAGTTAATGTTTCGGATCGAATGACCCTTCCTCAGAACCTATTCTCCCTATTTGAGATGTGCTCACACAGACAGGGATGTTTGGGATTTCTAGTTTGCACAGTTGAATAGGTTACGGTTTTTGTAATTTCTGTAACCTCAGTCCCGCAGATTTCTCGTTCTGTCTCTACCCTTATCCATATGTCTGCCTGTGAGTTGTTCTCTTTCTTTATCCTTGGCACATGCACATTATATTCTCGTTTTCTAAACAAACCTGTTTCTCTGTCATCAATTGGTGACTTTAACTCCTGGAGACCAGAGCCGTTAAACTCGTGTAGTGGGCGCAGACATCAGAGCTCCATTCTTTAGCGAAGTAACTCACTCCTGTGAGCTTCGGTACCAAACTGAGCTTCCTTCTAGGTCCCTTGTATTGAAAATGTTACTCTCGGATTATCCTTCAGACGAGTTTCACATAAACTAGTGCTTCCACCTTGGTTCATCCCTGTCTCTGGCGGGAGTTGGCACTACTTCTGCGATATCTAACGGTTAGAGTGAGCATTGGGACTTGGTTGTCTTTATATTTGTAGATGGGAAGCATTTTTTTTAACTTCTTACTTGTCTGAAATAAACGCATCGTTTATACTTTTGAGAAATAATGAGTTATTTCAACATAAGAAAGTGAAGCACATGAAGAACAATGCATTTGGAACCCGGTTAATTATCGCATTGTCACGATTCTTACGCCAACAGAAGACGCGAGCCAAGCCTAAACCTGCACAGAAATGGCAGCAATATCCTTAGCGTTAGGCATGTCAACACAAATGAAGAAATCAAAAGAAACATTTTCTAAAGTGACAATTTTAGAGCCGAACTATTTGCCTGAAGGAGCTCACAGCTAGGTCCGGTTTACATATACTGTAGTAGGAGCAGCCTACTTGCCTTAGTTTTCCGTTATTATAAAATGGCAAGTTACATTTCGACACTACTCTCCAACATAGAAATATTCCTTGCAACATTTTACGGGGGTGGGGGTGAGGTGATAGAAGGAAAATGTGAACAATCTTCACTATGGCGGGAAACAAGAATAAAATGATGAGAGTGTAAGGCGCAGACAAATTAGACCGATTTAGAACGCTTTTGAAAGCGCCATGTAGGTTGGCAAACTGCAAGATTTCAATGTGCGAGTGCAGGAAAAGCGAGACAGGGACTAACCAATAACCTGTTAGTGGACCAAACAGAATGACGAGTAATATGTAGATAATAGGATCTATGTTGGATAGACAGTGTGATGATCAATATATGCTGCAATCGTTAGATTTGTTTCATAATTCTCACTGAAATAACAATGCCTATCTTAAATAGCATCCTCGGAATCTATTGCATTTAAGAGAAGATGGGTTACAATGTCCTGCAAAATTACGAAAGAGGTGGATGGCAGATTTACTTTCAATGTAGTTAGAATTATTAGTACTCTACTATCACGCAGAAACTGTATTTTAACTGCTTGCGCGTTAGAAAGAGAACTGTGAGTTGTAATTGTTCAGGGATAGTGAAGGAGATCAAATGATTTTTTAGATTGTCAGTGGATGACCGCGAGACAAGAAGGAATAACTATGAATTAGCTGATACATGTATAGATACAAAGGCGTAAATTTAACAATAATCTCAAATAACATTTTTTTAATCTTACAATCCGAAATATTTTGTTTAAAATACACTTGTTTTCTTGTTACTTTCGTTGTTATTATTAATATTCTAATTCTAAACACCGTACATAGCTCAAGGCGCTGGTTAAGTGGATTCGCTGAAAAGCGTTTACTTGGTTCCCGCAAATGGTATTTCATTCTGCGGTAACCAGCGCCTCCTACCGTCAGTGGCTTTATCGTACTTCCGGCTCGGCCACTTGCGCCAACAGAACGAAACAGCTGGTGTAGGCTCGGAGCAGGGATAACAACACTACAGTTGCTGATAACACAGTGTGGAGTTGGAGGAGCAATGCGAGTCAGGTAGCATCAGAGGAGCAGGCGTTTCGGGCCGGGGCCCTTTCTGAAGAACTTTCCTGCTCCTCTGATGCTGCCTGGCCCCTGTGCTCCTCTAGCTCCACTCTGTGTTATCTCTGACTCCAGCATCTGCAGTTTTTACTATCTCTGACTACAGTTGCTGAGTTTGTTTTCAAATCAACACCAACTGCGGCATGTTGATTCATTTTATGTTACTGCCCATTAGTACTTTCTATGAATTTCATATCCTGTTAGAATTTTCGACAGCGAGCAACTTGGCTACAATATGCCAACTATGTCGTCCTTTATAAATTCCAGTGCAGATTCTCTCAATATTCTTTCATTATGTTTCCCATTTAACCAATCATTCCCTGATCAGAGTTTTCGTGGGGTGTGAGTATGGTTGGCTAGGCCTGTATTTATCCTATCCTATCCTAATTCCATTTAAGCTGATAATGATCTGCCTTGAACTACTGCAGTCCTCGATGATAGGGAGTCCCTTGTTAGGAAATCCTTTCTTAAGGAGGGAGTTCCACTGTTGACACAGCAACAATGAAGAAAGGGCCATATAATTCCCAGTCAGAATGGTATGTGGCTTGGAGGAGAACTTAACAGGTGGTAGTGTGCCTATGCATCTGGTGAGTTTGTCCTTCTAAGTTGTGAGGGTCATGAGTTTGGAAGGTACAGCCAGACGACCCTTAATGCTTTCCTGCAAGGCAACTTGTATATGATACACACTGCAGCCATGGTGATCCAGAGGTGGAGAAAGTGATTGCTGAACGTGTGGTTAGTCCACCAAACAGTAGGCTGCTTTATTCTGGATGGTGTTGAGCTTCTTGAGCATTTTGGAACAGGACTCATTCAGGTAAGTGAAGAATATTCCATCACACGCTTGACTTGTAGATGGCTACTGGCTTTGAGGAACTACGGGGTGAATTTCCAAGTCTGTAGGTCTGGTCCACTAAAGCTTTTGTTCAATGATTACTCCTATTTCCTGAATTTATTCACTTCCAATCCCATTAATCATATTCACACAAGCTTAGTAATGGTGTCAAATTAACTCTGCCCACATCAGAAGTTCAAAAAATCCAATCTCATGCCCACAGTAAGGCTAATCCAGCAAACACACTCACTAGCATGTTAAGAAAATTCACTCAGCCCCTGACCTCAGTATAGACTTGGTCTAAACATGGGCACAAGTACTGCATTTCATGGTGAGATAAGAGCATTTGCCAATGACGTCAAGAAAGCAATTAATCAGCATGGTATCGAGAAGCCCTATTAAAACTGAAGTCAATGGGATTTGGAGGTAAACTCTTCACTGGCTGGATTCATATCTCACACAAAGGAAGGTGGTTACGGTTGTTGGAGGCCAATCATCTCGGCTCCAGGACATCTCTGCAGGAGTTCCTTAGAATAGCAAGC